CAATTATACAAAAGCACTTTTGCTTTCAAATCAAACTATTTAAAATTCTATAACTTTTGTTTCTTAATGCCCAGCTGTTTTAACTTTCAGGGGCAAATGGGAAGCAAATCACCCGCAGTCTCTCCCTTTCAGTAAAGGCATTCTTGGCAAAATAGGGGAAAAAAGAAATTAATTTCCCTTCATTTTAAAAATCAGGTTCTCTGTTTTTAGAAAGAAAAACAAATACACTGCATACTTTCTCCCTTTTACAAGTTTGTCTTTAAGCTTACTTAATCAGCCAATATATTTCTGAAAATCTTGCAGTCATAGCAAAAAAAGACCCACAAGACCAATCTAGTATTACTCCCAATGAGAAAACTAAGCAGTAAGCTGCATTTGAGCTCCACAAATTTTCAAGAATTACACAAGGCAGGTAGGCAGTGTCAGGTAGTTCATAGTAGCTACCAAAACTGTACCAAACTGTGTCTATGAGAAACATGTCTGAGCTCCCTCCTCACCTACCACAATGTACAAAAAGACTTCCCCTATACAGTTTTTTTTAAACAATTAGTAAGATGTACCATGTGCATATTACTACCACTGCTTTAAAACTGCCCTCTTCAAAGAGGTTTGAAATTCCTTATAATTTCACGAATTCTCACAGACACAGTATCTAAAAGGAATTTAACTTTCATATATACTTAACCTTCCCTAACTATTCTTACTTCCCAACCAGCTCCATACACTATTGCTATTAAAATTTGCACTTACTATCCTGTTAACCTAACTTTATGCCCTCATTTATGAAGCAGAAGCATTTAACCAGAACTTCCAAAAAGTTCACTTGAAAATACTAAACTTGATTTCAACATGAGATTCATGCTACAGCTACTTGATCAACTCGCTCTATATTCGTTGAATTTTCATCTCCAAAAGTATAAAATGGATACCTAGGGAAAAACTGAACTGCTACCTTTGTTCTGTTGCAGTGAATTTTTCACCATTTCAGAATACTACTGGATACTAAAAGATCCTTTAAACTAAAATCAGGCTTTTATGGTTGATCATTCATAACAAACAATTTATTCACTTCACAGTAACAAATAAAGACAAGTCTCACATATTCCTTCCTGGTAATAAGAAAAAAGAACAACAGGGACTGAATTACCTTCATGCACTGTTATTCCGCAATTGTCACACTGGATTATTTCATCAGCATCTTCACTGTTATCCCCAAGACAAACACAGCAAATCAGAATATGGTCCATTTTCTGTGAACTCCAGTTCTGAGACTTCTCAAGAATCAGTGAGTCCTAAAATTGAAAAATTAAAATGCACTGAGTAAGCCAGGAACCACACTAAAAATGTTTATTTTTACCACAAGAAAGAAACCAAATAAGTTAAGCCTTAGACCCATTTATCCTTATTAAAGATATGTATATGCTTTAAAATGTTATGGATACAGAAACATTTCGGAGCTTCATTTTCATAAAAGCCTTCCCCTCTACTCCTAAGGACTTGAAAAAGTCTTTACCAGAGACACCCTGGGCAAGCTGTAAGACGTGCTGGGACAGGTCTCTCTTCCTGCAAACTTTATACAGCAACCTCATTTAAACTCCTGGTGCCGTTTAAAAGAAAAATGAAACACCAGAAATACACAAAGGTTTACCAAAAAACCTGTGTGTTACAGGAATCCTGCTAACTTCCACAAATCATACAGCACCTACTGGACAACCATTACACCTTTCCAAAAACCCATACTGTTAAGCCTGGAAATGAACCATTATGAGCAATTGCCGGCTCTCCTATTCTATACAATGCAGTATATATAAAAACATATGTCTAGTATGAATTTCTTTTCTTTTGACTACCAATACGAATAAGGATTTGCAGAATCAAGTACTTAGCTTGTAAAATGCTTTAAGATTCTGCAGGGAAAATGACATCATAAAATAGATGTATTCTTTTGTTTAATTTACCAAATAATTTTTCATCAAGAAAACAGGAAGCCATTTACACTTCAGATATACAGAGCAAGGAATAGATACTGTGGCACTACTATTTAGCGTGTTTTTTTAAATTACCTCCATAATGACAAATCTGCACTGTTTCTGGACTGCAGAAATTTGTGGATGTATTAAGTGCATTTTTTGATTTTTCTACAGAATGACAAAAATTAGACAGCCTTCACCAATGAAACCTAAGCACATGGAAACATGAGGCACTAGATGCATTAAAGCATTGCTAGTGACCGAGTAAAACAGCCCTTGTAACAGTTACAGAGTACAGGTTGGCAATTCATATCTGACATGAATCCACTAGCTTGCTAAGCTTCTCTCAAAACGTTACAGCTGTGCATTTCAGCAACAGAAAATGAATGAGGTAGAACTCTCCCTTTCAAAACATGTTATTCCTAACGAAAGCCCTCATTTTTGGTTAAAGAAAGTAATGAACACACGCTAGTTTACCCAGCCAGGAGATCTTATACCACCCTCCAGCTCTCCTGTGAAATATGAATGTTCATTTCTTCCTAGGAGAAATTTTACAATTTTTGCATTCTCCTATACCTGAGGAAGGGCACATGTGCTTGAAAGCTGGCAAATAAAGAAAAAAAAAAAGTTTTGCAACTGTCTAGTTGGTCTAATAAAAGATATCGCTTCAAGCGCACCGACTATTACTATACCCTAAACACCTAGAGACTTGGTTTGTCATTACTGCTAACAAAAACAATGTTCCTTTTTTGAAAAGAAGAATTATGTCAACCTTAAATAGAGGGTCTGAATGCATTATGTCTTCTCAGGGTCTCCAAATCCTGTGGAGCATGGGTCAAGGTGTTTGTTTTTTCTGCTACCCATCCCAAAAAGTTTCACAGATCAGTTGTGGTACACGGACCAGACTGAGAATCATTTTTTCAGCTTAATAACCCGATGCCTGAGGGTCAGTTGCCACCCTTGCATCATGTACTGAAAAATCATGTTACCCATAGTTAAAGGCAATTTAATACTAGACAGAGAGTAATCCCATGGAGTCAACATTTCCCACCTGCTATGGCAGTTCATTTTTAGAGGATGCTAGTCCTGTGGTATTTCCTCTTTCTAGAATTTTTTTTAAGCACCAGGCCAACAAGCCTATGACAAAAAAGCTGCCATGGAGATTTCAAACTTTTTGAAAATTAGATTGTTGTAGAAACGAAGGAAAAAGATTAATCATTACTATACTACAACCAAGATAGAGTGATTTTAAATAAACAACTTAAATTTATAATTCAACTATATTTACAAAAAGCTCTACATGTAACATCTACATACAAGTAAACTACCCTGGTTTCCACAAAAGTAACCAACTTACTGCATTATTTTATTATAAAATATCTAGGGATTTAAAAAAATCTGTGCAAAAAAGAGAAGTGGCACACGTGGGGGCAGACTGTACCACTCAAAACTGGAGCCTGGCTGGCTGGAGCCACACTGTGGCTGCTAGCCAGGCTCCAAGAGGCATGATAGTCATTGCTGCAGCCCCGGGAGGTCCCCAGGACAGACTGCTGGGGCCAGCCCAGCACGTACCCCAGCCACCCCTACCACACCCAGGGTAACCTGCTGTGTGCCAGAGAGCACGTGGCACAGGCGTTCCCTGGGGACAACTAGCAGTAGCATAGGGTGCATCGCTGCTAGTTGTCCCCAGGGAACCAAACGTCTGCACTTGCCTGGACGCAGCCAAGGAGTACAGGAGGATGCAGGGGTACTTTGAAAAGTGGCAAGGCAGCCTGCCTCACCCTATCGATTGGCAGGGTGCAGAGAGATTCCTCAGGGCAGAGTCCCCATGGGGTTTCCTGACAGCTCAACCTTGGTATCATGCAACCAGGGCTGTTCTTTCCTCCCGCTCTTCTGGAGGGATGGAGTGAGAGCAGAGGGCCACAGGATATTATGTGTCCTCCTCAGTGAAAGAAGTGTATAGACATTCAATTTAGATAGGAAAAAGGAAAATCTTCCTCACAGGCACCTGGTCTAACTGCATGTGGAAGAGCCATTTTGCTTCTGCAAGAAATCTTGACTTTCTATAAAGCTCTGTTTGTGCCAGGAGGAAGGCTTTTCCCTTGGCACAAATGGAACACCTGTACATGGAATAAGACTAGTTCAGTCACCTTTAAAAAAGAAACCTAATATGGTATATTAAAAGTTAGAAATGAAATGTAATTGGGGGTGAATAGCTTGCTAACAGTATGTGAAACATGGAAAACTTGACAGCTACATTTGTAAAGTTCAGGAAAAAAAAAAGGTCAGGTATGGAGACCATTAATAAGGTCATAAATATATTAACTTTCTCCCTTCTAGCTTACAAGTCTAAATCTATCCATGGTTGGTAGTGACCGTAAGTTATGGCTTTGTGATGGCTGTTCAGTGGTATATATGGAGTTGTGGCCATAGGTCTCAATCCTGCTGCAGGTATCAACAGCACTAAATTTTACCATAGGCACCCTGCTGGCACTCTGATCAGACAGACCAAGGAATAAGAAACATAGAATTAATAATCTTCTCAACTCTAAAACTGGCCACAGAAGTCTAGGTGTGGTGGAGAAATGTGGCAAAGCCTTTTCTGATGCTTTTATCTTTTTTATGGATGGATGATCACTCTTTCAATCAGAGGAGAGGAGCAGACAAGAGAGGATCCAAACAAAGTTTTTATATATCAGAAACTGTTTGCAACTGCTCCTCTCTTTTCTACAAAAAGACTGTTGATACTTGTTGCCCAAGAGAATCATAACATGCATTTATAAATGTCACAAAGGCAAGGCTGAAGGCAAATTTCAGAGCCTTATATCCTACTGTCCCAATGACCTTGCCAATACTGCTTTAAGAAAAAAAAGTGCATTCTATTTTGCCTTGAAATACCTAATGTATGCAAGCTATCCTAAACTAAAACACAGTGAAGGCAAGGTACTTCTGATTAAACTAAACATAATCAGCTACAGGAGGGAAATATAGGGTTAACTTTGCTGTGTAGTGATTTGCCTTCACTTGAGATAGGTCAAATGCATTAGATATTCTGAAATATTAAAACAAAAGCAAGAATACAATCCCCCCACCCCAAAGAAGAAAAACACATATTTTCAGCAGTGAAGATAAGGTATCTAAACATATTTCCTATCCATCTTCTCACAATCAAGAGGTCAGGAACCATAAGGTGACAATAAAAAGATGTCCAGGGATAAAATAGTTTTTTTTTTAAGGTAAAGTATTATGCTTAAAGAAAATAAATACAGAAAATAAATATAGAAATAAAAAAGAATATTGAGTTTTTCCAGTATTAATTAGTAGAGGGTTTGTGAGACTCTCTCCTAATACCTTACTTAATTTTTTTTTAACTTAAGGACATTTTGTAACTAGAGCACTTCTCCTACGAATAAAGTCCATCTATAGTAAAAAGATTCTTTTAGCTTCCTATCCAAATTACAAACAGGAAAACATTAGTAAAGACATCCATAAGTAGGGTAAATTAACTGTGTACTAGTACAACTGCAGTTCTAATGGACAGGTTCTACAAAAAGCTAGCAATTTGGTTAAAACCATTAATTTAGGATTATTTATCTTTGCTGAAGGAAGTCTAAGAGTAACATGCATATTTTACTTCAACAAAAGATTACATATTTTAAAGAAAAAGGAATACTGTAGAAGTAGTTACTTTTGGGTTCCAAATAAAAATCCCCTGGGCAAATTAATTATACTAATATGACATTATCAATACATAATATGTACACAGGTAGAAAGCAGTTAATTAACCAGTGCTAAGAGAGTTAAATTTGGCTGAATAAGATTAGGAGCTTTGGCTCTGTTTATTAGGGGAATGGGATTGAGGGGAGAGGGTGCTTGTTTAATAGGGGTCATTGTGCCATGGTTTAGCTGGTGGCCAGGAAACCTCACGCAGAAGCAAGAACTACTGTTCCAGTCCACATCCTGCCAGGTGAGAGGCTGATTCTATTTTCATGGTCATCACCATCTAGTTATGCAAGCTTTGGGTGAGAGGTAGTGAAACTCGCAAACTATGCGTGCGCATCTACTAGGCAGACAAAGTTCTTTGGGTAAATCTGATATCTCTTATTAGATCAACTCAAATACTTACAAGAATTTTTCCAACTATTTGAGTTGGTCTAATAAAAGACATCGGATTTACCCAAAGAACCTTGTCTCCATATGTCCTTAGACCAACACAGCTACAACCTATAAAACTGAAACATGCATCTGCTAATAATTTAATGGGAATTAAAGAGACCCCATTGAGGAAGAAAAAAGTGCTCTGAAGTACTAGCAATTATAAAAAATGAACAGCATCATTTATCTATTAATGATGCTCGACAGAAACAGTAACAGCATAAGCTTGTTTGCTTACGCTTAATACGGTAGAACAGCATCCGGTACTTCATTACAACACAGGTTCAAATACTATATAATCAGGTCTTGAAATCCATATTTGGAATATGAAAGAGTTAAAAAAGAGCAGAAAGGGTTGAAAGCTAGCAAAAAAAAAAAAACCAATAAAAAAAACCAACCCAGACAACTTTAGGACCTCAGGAGCAGCTACTTAAAAATTAGTTGCTTAGACACTCTGTCCTTTCATCAAGACTGTGAAGTCTGTATTCCTAGGACATCAGCTTCTGCATTGTAATGAGATTCTGCTGTACTCTAAAGGAACTATTTTTTACTAAAAGTGAAAAATTATTACAGTGGTGCTGCCAGAAGCACTTTTATAAAAAACAGGTGGTTTCAAATAGCATAAAACTGAAATTGGATTTGTATATTGTCAATTTAGAAGTTAATAATAGATTTAAAAAATTAAAAACCATGAAGGCACTTTTCAGAGATTCAATGACCTTTCTTTATATTGGGGTTTCCTCCAAGATCTAAACAAAGAAGTAGCTTAATTAAAAATGTTATACTTAGTTTCTAAAGCACAGTGTCATTAGGATGATTTTTAATCAGTAACGATATTGCATTTTGAAAATGAGGAATGATCCTCTCATGGTGAATGCCTGAAACACGAAACAAAGAGATCAGGTTTTAATCCAATCTCTGCCACAGATTCTGTGGCTCAACTTGGAAGTCAAAGGCAGATCTTGCAAGGTCAAGGTTCTGAGTGTCTTCAATTCTCATTAAAATCACTAAACTGGGGTTACAGTTTACCATCAAGACCTTAATCTCTTTAATGTCCTTTAAGTCCCCATTTGTAATGCAGGAAACTACTGCAAAACACTTACCTATCCTAGAATACTGTTCTGTAAGGTCAGTGCATTAATATCTGTACCTGAGTTCATCAACCAAAAAGCACTGATAAAAAGCACAGTTATATCATCAAGTAAGATAATGATATAGAGACAAAGGACTAAATATGTATAGGAAATAGACTCCTCTCACTTACGAAGGCAATCCCTAAAGATCAAAAAATCAGTCTGCAGTGACACTGCAAGTACTGTACCAGCAGCGTGGCAAGGCGGACACCTCTGGCTTCAAATGAAACATTCATCCAAGTACAACTTTGGTCTCTCTCACCACAGAACGTAACTGTCCCTGAAGCACCAGATCACTAAGCATATAAAAATGCAAATAATGTAGCAAATAAACTGTCTTGTTTGATTTAAAAAAACAAGTAAGACCCACATAAGAGTAAAACCTATAGATTATAATTGTCAAGTTGTTTTTCTGACACTATTAGCATTAATAATATCTTCACAGCCCATATCCAATGTATTAGAACAGGTTGTCAAAGATCGAGCCCACATGGCATTCTCCCTGCCAAGCCAGCCAGGGCAAGGGGAGGAATCTTGTGTAGTGCACGTCCTGGAGCAGGAGCCACAGACACTGGATCCGGCATAGGGTGGGGAAAAAGTCAGTGGGCCAAATCTAGCCCATGGACCAGTCCCATGCGATACATCTGGCCCATAGGGCCAGATGAATTTCACTCCCCTGTATTAGAAAATAAATCCATAAATGCAAGATGCCATATAACCCAGAAACAGAGTTCTGCCAAATTCCAAAATGCCCAACATAATTCAATATAGGGGTTTTTTTGAATACAAAGTAAAATCAGCAGAAGCAAATCAGCAGAAAAGATTGGTTTAACAGAAACAGCAGACCTTAAAATAGTGCCACATACGTCTACGATTTATCCAGAAATCACACTTGTTATAACACTGGGTTTACTTGCAAATATTTAAAAAAAAAAAAAAAAAAAAAAAAGACTT